AATAAGAACCTTAAGACCTTTAAGAGCAGCCGAAAGCCACTGAAAACGTCCGTCTTGAGGGTTATTTCTTGAAAACATCAATGGAGGAGGAGCGATCTATTGATAAACGAAGGTTTCTTCTGAATTTGTCTCCAAACAGAGGAGTCCAAGTGTAGGATCCAGAACAGAAACTGTGCTGGTGTTGAGATAAACCAATCAAAGCCACAGAAACATCCACCGTCTCCACCTCCAAAGTCTCAAAAGTCGTCTTTGTGAGCAGCGAGTGAAGCAAAAACTGATCCTGGTCCTGGTCATTAACCTTATTTTACTAGACCCCAAAATAGAACCATCAGCCTGTAAACATGCAGCATGTGGGCTCTTTAAATGTGCCTCTGATTCAGGCTGGTGGCTTGAACAATGTTGTGATTTCTCGTGACATCTTTTAGCTTCATTATTAGAAGAGTAACTGAAATAAAAAATGCTCTCGGTTCCAGTGCAGCCGTCCGTCTTCCTCCCGGTTCTCGCCCAGACGTTACGTATTTAGCAATCAGCATCTGCCACGCTTCATTGTCGCTCCAAGAGTTGCGACACAACCAGAAGTCTTTGTGCCGGTGATTTTTCTCCGGCTATCAGCAGCCTCCCCGCGTTCTCCGTAGAACGCTGCTCGTTCTCCTGAAAGGCAGCAGCGATACCGAGGACGCCGGGAAAAAGGCAGAAATAGATGTAAAGTGACTCCGGTTAGACTCAATCAGCTCCCAAAATCAAGGCGAGTCGCTCCGAAGACCGAAGCTCTCAGTGTGGGAGAAACCCTAATACATGCTGCTGAAAGGGACGAAAACCGGCCGGCAGGGAACGTTCCCACAACATTACCGACAAGTTCTGATCATTCCTTTAATCAAGGTGTTTCAGTTAAATGTTCAAAGGAGGTTCTGAGAATATTTTAATTAGCAGCAATGTTACGATAAAGTTAATACAATGTTTTAATCTCAACATTCAGAGCAGAAAACAGTTGATGTTCTATAGGAACGAAGCAGGAACGTTCTTCCAAAAAAAAAAAAAGTTTCCCTGATGTTGTT